ACCACCGACTGCTGTGGGCGAACACTGTCGTACACTGGAAAAAATGGAACCGTAATGTCGGTGACTTGTTTTGTTTGCGGTCGGCAGATTGGTGGCGGTGGGGCAAATTAGTGCGAAACAGAACATGAGCTCTCTGGTAATTGAATGCGCGCGTGCTGCGGTTTTAACTCAATAGTCAATTGAAATTGGATTCTCGCCCACTGAAGCGTGTGCGATGAATTGGTTGAATTGAATTCACCACCACCGCTGCGGCAGCAGCAGCAACAGCAGCAACTGCGACTAATGAGCTCTTCTTCTGGGCAACATGAGCAGCGAGGTGAACTTTGGCAAGCAAGCAAGAGCACAAAAGGGAGAGAGGAGCGAACGTTACCGCGCGCTGAAATACATTTTGAAAATAACCCCCTTTTTTCCTTGGAACCCAATTTCCATCCATCCATCTCATTTTCACAAACTCAGAAAGCAGCGTGTCATCCACCCCCATCCATCCATCCATCTATCTAAACACTGACCTAACCCGCAAAGTATGTCCGATTACGCCGACTACCACCACGCGATGCAGCACGCGGCCATCAACGCCAACCAGCTTCACCCGACGATGACGCAGATTCCCATGTCGCAGATGATCAACGCCACCGGCCTCAACCTCACCGTCATGCCCGGGCAGCTGAACAACGCCGGCCAGCACCTGACGCACGGCCACCAGATTGTCTACGCGGCGAATGTGCAGCCGACGATGACGGCGGTCGCAGCGAATGCCGTCGTCCACGGCAACCAGGGCGGCCATGGCGGCGGCGGCGGCCAAAGAGGCGGTGGTGGCGGAGGCGGCGGCGGCGGCCACGGCCACAAGAAGAACAAGAAGCCGAAGGTGAACAAGGACGGCGTGCCGGCGCCGAAGCGCGCGGCGACGCCCTTCATCAACTTCACCCAGTGGTACCGCGAGGAGCTGAAGAAGAACGGGCGGCCGGTGCCGAAGATTGCCGAGTTTGGCAAGGAATGTGCCGCGAAGTGGGCGCAGATGAGCGAGGAGGACAAGAAGCCGTTTCTGGATGCGAGCAGCCGCGACCGCGACCGGTACAAGCGCGAGATGGCCATCTACAAGCCGGCGCGCGACGAGTCGAAGCCGAAGCGCCCCGGCACCGCCTTCATGCTCTTCATGGTGGACTTTCGCAAGGAGATGGCCGGCAAGGAGCCGGAGGGAGGCGTGGCGGCGCTGGCGAAGCTCGGCGGCGAGCGCTGGCGCAACATGACCGAGGACGACAAGCGCCCCTACGTGGAGCGGCAGAACCAGGAGCGCGTCCGCTACGAGAGCAGCATGGAGGACTACCGCCGCAAGGGCCAGCAGGCGATTGCGGCGCAGGCGGGCGGCAGCGCCGAGGGCGGCAACGCCACCGCCGCCGGCGGCGGCAAGCGCGAGGAGGGCGAGAGCGGCGACTCGGACGCCAGCCTCCAGGCGCAGCAGGCGGCGGCGCAGCAGCAGGCGCAGCAGCAGGCGGTGGCGGCGGCCGCGGCGCAGCAGCAGATTCACCTGGCGGCGCCCGCCACCACGGCGTACCTGCTGACCGGCAGCGGGGCGGTCTACTCGCAGATACAGGCGCCCTACTCCTGGAACTGAGGCGGCCGATGACGACGATGATGATGATGATGGCGAGAAGAGGATTTCCGAAGGTGAAGTTGAAGAACTGATGGGGACTGTTATCTAAAACATCACACACACTGAAGTCGCCGTGCCATAGTCGACGCACATCAAATCTCGCTCTACTTTTTCCTCCTCCTCCTCATCTCTTCTTGAAGATCATCATCTCCACCACCACCGCCACCGTTTCCCATCTATCTTCATCCTAAGCACACAGCGGAACACCACCACCACCACCTCTGAGACCTCATCGCACTCTCTCTCTCTCTCTAGTTTCAATCACTCAGTTTTTTCTCGAACAGTCCATGGCAAAACTCTCTCTCTCCCATAACACACTCGATGGCTGAACTTTATCTTCTTCTTCTTCTTTCCTTTCTCATTGTTCTCTTGTTAGTTTCGTTTCCTCTCTCTCTCTCTTATCACCACCAATGCGCACCAACACCACCACCACCACCACATCAACACAACAACACTTTGGCCGGCAATGCGAACCACCACCACCCCTCCTCCTCCTCCTCGTCCTTTTCATAGCTGTAAATTNAATAACAACAACAACAACAAACACCTCCTCTAATCAGCCAGCCAGCCAGCCTCGCTGCAGGTTAACAATTAAAGTCGGCAAATCTTCTTCCACCCTCCTCTTCCTCTTCTCTTCTCCTTCTGAGACCGTCTCTCGCCCCTCTCGATTCTGATTATCCTCACATCACCATCACCACCACCACCTCCATCACCCTCTTATACTACTACCTTAACTCGCTCGCTCGCTCGATTCTTACTCCATGATTTTTTTCGTTGTTGCTTTTCTCTCTCTCTC